CAATAAACCCACCCCCTGACCAAACAGTACACAGTGCCTGCTTTCCTTCCAGACTCTCCCTCACCTCTGGGAAAAATGAAGCAAGAAGGGGCAGCTGCTCCATCAAAACCCCCCAGAGGCCGCAACTCACTTTACGAATTTGAATCGGTACATTTCATGCAGACTTGGACTAATCCCCCAGAAAACAACAGGCCACCACAGTGAGCAAAGTAACACAAAATTATATTGTATATTTAATAACATAGCTAAGTCAAGTTTCTACACCTATACCACTCATATATTTCCCAAATGACAGAAACAAGAGAGAAGGGATTAAAACCCAAGTGTCCCGGGAAGCCTTCCTGACCACACTCTCGCACGATAGCAAGTGTTGTTCAGAGACGGGGAAAGGATTCTGTTGAGCACCTCCTTTTTCTTGAAAGGTAATAAAGATGGCGTCTGGGGGCTCTTCTCTCTTTCCCTCTCAGGCAACCAGGGCAAGTCGGCTTACAGATCCATTTTACCACCAGGGCCCCCATGGCTGGCTCGGAAGGAGCCCTGCAAACTAAAGATCTAGGAGCATCCATACTCCTGGACTGGGGCAAGCATTTACCAGTACAGCTACCTGAGTAAGCCCAGACCTCGATCACACACTGCCTTCCACCATCCCTCTCCATCTCAACTCTGGCCTCCAGGAGGAGAGAATTTTCCCCAGTCCCCACAGAGTCCTTCAAGGGCCACAGCTACTATCCAAGATGCCAGTGGTAAAAGCACGTCTTGTGGTCCTCCCTTAGCCCGTAGGACACGGCAACAGGCTAGAGACCTGAACACCAACTGCTGCCTCTTCTGCCCCATCCCACATGTGCTTCTATTTCTCCCTCAGCCAGGAATGGCACCCCTCTTACCCCTCAATCAAAGACAGCCTAGTTTTAGGCTCTTAGTACCATCTTGTCCCCACCACTGAAAGGACCTTGGGGAGCTGCCTCATAGCAAGTGCTCAGTCAATACACAGGGAATAAGGAGGAAAGCAAGTAAGAGAGGAAAAGATGGAAAGTAGAAGGGAATGAAATTAAGTCTTTAATAGTTCTGCATTTCCTAACTCTTGAGTATTTACTAGCTTTATTCAGCTGGAAATAATTTTAAATGGCAACAAAACATAGTTCACATTTTGAAAACTCTGCTTTTCCGTGTTACTCATGGACAAGTGCTCAGAATCCACTGTGACCTCAGGAGGTTGTATGTCTGAGACCAGCTGGACTGAACGTATTCAGCCCCACAAATACACCCAGACATGCCCTACACCCCAGGCATGCCTCCAGCCACTCTTCCTTCACTCATTCACAGCTCCAGGCTGGGCCTCCTCTGCAGGAGGAGGGCTTCACCTATAAGTCATGAATCTTAAAAACAGGATTACTGCTATCAAGGCAAGAAGATGGGTGTGAGCCTAGAGCAAAAGGTCCTTGCCTGCCACCCTGCTGTGGAGACTACTAGTTTTACTTCTGTTTTGTGAGTACCTGACATACTCTAAGCACATGATGGGTGTTAAATATCATCTCCCATTGCTGTTTATGAATCGAGAAGTCGGGGTCATGGAAGGAAGGATAGGTGATATTTGGACACAAGAAAGAATACCTGCTTTTTTCCAGTCGTGAGCACCTCAAGTTAAGCCTAGGGCTTGAGGTTTCATGTTTCATGCTACAAGTATCTAAGTACACACATAAGGAAAAAAGGCACAAAAGCCCAGCATCAGATAAATATGACAAATAGCTCTGACATAGTATTTTAAATAGAAGAAAGAGATTAATTAAGAAAAGAGATGTGCCAGATCTTCTAACTGTCCAGGTTCCTTCTAACTATGAGGGAGCTAGAAAATTTCAGGTAAACCAGGAGTAGCTGCCCTAGAGGGCAGCTTCTCCCCACCCCACCCCCCACCCATGTTCTTCATGAGGGGTTCAGGAGCCCATCACATTAGTGACTCTGATGACCACATTCAATAGGGAAAGTGGCAGGGACTGGAACGGAAGGCAGCCATCAAGGGCAGGAACACTATGGGAGGAAAGGGAGAGGAAAGAGAAATTCCTGCTGAATCCCCACTTCAGGAAGACTGCAAAAGAGCCACGAGGGCCAGCCAAAGCCCCGGGCAAGAGTGGAGCCACGAGAGCAGGTAAAGCCACTAAACAAGTGCTATCCCAGAGAGGAGATTCTGGCTGACATCATATTATGGTCCTTTCAGCTTTGCAGAGTATTTTCTTATTCATCATTTCAGGTCATCTTCACAATCCTCTAGAAAGGTCTAGAAAGGAAGTAGTATTTACATTTATTAGATGAGGAGACTGAGGCTCAGAGAAGGAATGACTGACTTGAGGCTACTCTGTTGGCTGGTGGCAAAGCAGAATTTCAGTCTTCCAGAACGACCCTGAGGCTGGGAGGCAGAGGCTCCCAGATTGGGATAAATGGGTGAGTTTATTGAAAGGTTCCAATTCATGGACACAGAGAAAAGAAATTGATCTAATAATAAGATGAAAAGGCCCCTGTCCCAGTATATTTTCAGGTAAAATAAAAAGGAACAGAGATAATACCAGCATATGCCCTGATCACCTAGTGTAATCCCAAAAGCAAACTATTTTTAAAGAGTCCAAGATACCATCTGTGAAGTTAGGGAAAAGGTCATTTCAAATAACTGTGGGTCAGGAATTGAACAGCCAGCCAACAGTGAGTGAAAGATTCATCCAGGGCCAAGAAAGTACGCTAAGAGGACAAGAAGACTCTAAAGGAGAATGTGAAGAAAACATAAGATCCAGGTTTTCACCAAAGACGAGGAACATTAAGGACGTAGCAGAGGGTCTGGCATAGAGCTAATGACTAATAAATGTTAGCTGCTAGTAGTAGTAGCAGGCATAGAGCAGTACTAGTAATAGAAAGCTATGTCCTTCCTCCAAGTTGTAGCCAAAAAAAACCCCCAAACTCAGTTCATGGTAATCTAAACTGCTACTCAATGATGAGGGCAGACGTCTGTCCTCAACCTGGTTGTGTGTTTTTTTAATCCTCACCCGAGGATATTTTTCCATTGATTTTTAGAGAGAGGGAAAGACAGAGAAACACATCGATTGGTTGCCTCCTGTATGTGCCTGACTAGGGCCCAGGCTTGGGAGAAGCCTGCAACCAAGGTATATATCCTTGACCGGAATCGAACCCAGGACACTTCAGTCCGCAGGCTGACACTATCCACTGAGCCAAACCGGCCAGGGCTGTCCTCAACCTTTTATTGGCACCATCTTCAACAGCTGCCATGCTCTATTCTGTGAACAGGGAGCCTAACACACTCCAGAAGAGGTAGGTAGAGTAGAGGAATATGTGTGGGGATGCTGGGAGAGCCTGTTTGTGTTCTTTGGCCTAAACCCATATGCAGGAAGCACGTGGACCATCTCCAGCCCTGAAGAACTTCCCTCTACCACGGACCCCACCCTAGTCTCCTGAAGCCAGCAGAAGTCCACAGGTAACCACCAAGACAAAGTCACCAGCCCACCTGTCATCCCCACAGGCTGTCCCACCCTCCTTCAGTCCTTACACATATCCAGCCCACAGACCCCAAAGCCTGGCTAACTGGCTTAGGAAGGGACATCATTAGGAAGAAACTGAGGAGGGGACAAAGCTCGATGCTCCATTTTCCACCCTCCGCTCCCACACACTTAGGCCTCTCCCTGCTGGTCTTTCCTTCCCTCTTTCCTAGGATTGCTAGAATGATTTGTTCTGAACAGCGACAGGTTTATAGGTTAGCCGACACCTCCGCTCTGTGGAATTTTAATTAACTTCTCCCATCGTCAATATGCTAAGGAATGGGGTCTCCATTCTCTGGGGTCAGCAATGTGTTTCAGGTCCTGCTATATCAGCCGTCAAATTGAAGAATTAATGACGTGGCTAATCGGCTCTAATTCTTTAGGAAGAAAAAAATCTGAAAGGGAGTTGTGGAAGGGGGCAGGAGGAGGGATGCAAGCTCCATTGGGTGAAGAGAAAAAGGGAAGGGGGCTGAGCAAAGGGGGGAACTGACTCTCTCATAAAACAAATGACTGACTCAAACCCAGTGTTGGAGGGTGGCAGCCCTACAGCTTTCCTACTGATCATCTAGATGGGGAGTGAGGGGTAAAGGAAGTGGGGAAGACCCTAAGTAAACACTGTGACAGAGCAGGTGCAGGAGAGGGCATCAATGCACCCTGCTGAGGAGGAGAGAGGCTCTGCCTTAGTCCAAGAGAGCCTAGACTGAAAGCAGAAGTTAGAATGCAAGCTCACTCATTCATAGATAAAGCTAGAGAAATACCAGTCAGGCCAAAGGTAGGATAAAGCCACCATAAAAAATCTGGCACTTCTGCTACAATAATCAATGCATCTACTGCACATACACGTCTTTGGATGAGGGCCCAATGGCACACAGGTCCCAAGCTCTCCTAATGACTCAATGCTCTAAGGCAGTGGTCAGCAAACTGCAGCTCGCAAGCCACATGCGGCTCTTTGGCCCCTTCAGTGTGGCCACGAAGTTTCAATCGCACTATACGTGCGCGCCCGCACGTGGTATTTTGTGGAAGAGCCACACTCAAGGGGCTGCAGTTTGCCGACCACTGCTCTAAGGGATTCTCCAAAAGACATTTCCCAAGGAGAACAAACCACTGATGTGCTATGAGAGCAGTTTGGCTGGTGCTGTCACCTCCCAGAGGTGCTGAGAGGCCTCTGCTTTGGTAACAACCCCAAAGGGCATCTCTTCCAGAAGGGACATGGCTGTAACAGCTGGACTCAGTTTCCTTCTAACATAGTATCTCTTCCTTCACATTGCTGGGCTAGATGCTTAGGAAGTTGGTTCCTAGAAGGGTATCTCAACCCAATGCTTATATGAACCGGAGGATTTCCAAAATCTCCAGGAGAGTAGCGCAAAGCAACCTAGCATATACAGGTAGAGGATTTTCTAGCCCAACTGACCTTGTAAAATAAAAGCATTATTATATGAGACATATCCAAAATGTCTCCCTTACCTGAGTAATGGGCTGATAGCAATGGACCAGACTCGGTCTTCAGTCTGGATGGTGTGTAAGCACTGCCCAAGCCGGCCTGAGGCCAAAGACCATACCTGGAAACAGGAGAGAAGATGCTCTCGTTGGCATTGCCTGGAATTGGGGTGGGGTGACTGTCCCTGGGCAGGGGTAAGGAGGGTGGGAATGGAGAATCCTTTCTGTCCTGTATACACAGAGCGCAGGGTATCAGCAGAGGTGCCGCTCTGGCTTCTGGATAGCCTACCACCCAAATAGACCTGGCTCTCAGTCCTAACCAACCTCTTTTACTTCCACCCAATACAGCTCTTACTTCCCAGCCAATTTTATACCAGGGAATCCGAAGTTCCATATTCCTCAGCTGAGACTTGACCGAGATGAGCGAGTAGATGGGGCTCGCTTCTCTTAGCACCTTCCCCGTGTTTGTGGATTTTCCTTTCTCCTATCTCTCACCAAGATTTTACTTTGGGGAGGTAGGAGAAGGGAGAAAGATCAAGGCACAGTATGGGAGGGCAGAGATAGAATTAGAGTAGAACTAGAGAAAGGAGTAAAAAGAAAGATGCAAGGGAAGGAAAGAATGGAAGAAGAGAGACTTCAAAGTAGAAAGGTGGTGTGTTGTTTGTTTGTTGATAATGCCCAGGATTCAATGCTATTCATGTCAGCACGGAATTTAGCACCTAGTGTCACCAAAAGTAGCAGAAAAGCTTAACTCTTTTAAGCTTCCATATCTCCTACAGGTTAAAAATATTGCTTGGAGCACATTATCTGGTCCCTATCAGTCAGGAATGTACATTAGCAGCCACTCTGGGCTTAACTCTAATCAACACTCACAGAGCCCTCTCAGCATTCAGTGCATTTAGAAATCTCCCATTAAGCACAAGGCCCCCCTACCTCACCCTATCCCAGATGACACACACAGGGAAATAAGCCTCTAACTAAACAGAAAGGAAACCTCAAATATACAGAGCAGTCCCCAGACAGCAGCCAAGGAGGGATCCCGAGGCAGCCAGATGGATCAATGACCTCTCAAGGTCCCTGCAGTGCTATAAGGGGAACACACAAGTCAGTTCGGGCCTTAGATGGAAGAACTTCCAGGAAACATTCCTTGGGTTTAAGGGGTAGGTAATGGAGTGGGGGTGGTCCTGCCTCCTTAGGGTCACATGATATCTCTTCCCTATAAAAGGAGAAAGTGTTTTAGATTTTGTGTACATGATGGAGGGAAGAGGGTATGACTTACTTTTCTCAAAATAGGGAAAAGAAAATAAATTTAACAAGAAGATCCTGGATGAAAAAGGGCAGAAAATAAAGGTAAATACCACAAATTTGTTGGAGTGCCATGACTCCAGCTTACTCTACTGGATCTGTAGTCAGGGCACTCTGGTAGTAATAGACGCACTTCTAATGTCCTCTCTTAGATGGCCCAGATTGGAAGAGAGGTTTTCCTTTCCCCTGATGCAAACCCCCTAGAAGGCATGTTCTTGCATGGGTGGTGGGAAGACACAAAGGGCTCGATTACAAAACCTATGGGAACAGCTGAGGCCTGAATTCACTAGTGCCCTCCAGGGAACAGGCTGGTGGTGGATTCCTAGATTGTGCAAACCACAGAACAAGGTTCCTAGTCTCCAGAAGTGGCTTGGGAAGTATGCTGCCAATTCTGAGCATCATCTTGGGAACATGGCCCTCCTGATCAGCCCCAGCAACACACCATCCACCGGAAACATGAGTGTGCTGATCACATCTTCATCCTCAGTGGCCAAATCCAAAAGAGACCCATCCCCTGGAGAAGACAGAACTCAGTGGGAGTAGACCTTGACACAGTCCTTCTAAAAAGCAGTTGGCTGTATATATCAAGACTCTTAAAATGACCAAAGCCTTTGACTGGGTAATTCTATTGCTGAGACCCTATCCTAAAATAATTATCCCCAAATGAAGAAAAACCTAAATGATAAATCTATTCCCTGCAGCCTGTGGTAGCAGAAAGCACATACATGGGCTTTGGAATCAGACAAATCTGGGTTGAGCCCTAGTTGCTACTTATTATCTCTAATCTTATAGATATTTCATAACTTCCTGGCCTCAGTTTCCTCATGCGTAACATAGAAATAATACCTATCTTTCAGGGTTGCAGTGAGGAAATGGGAAGATATGTATAAATTATCTTGCACAGTAGCACAGTATTTGGTAGGCATTAGGCATCAATAACAGTGACTCTTAATACTATATGAAAATAACTAGATACAAATATCCACTAGGAAAAACAGTGACTAAATTATGGTAAATCCATTGTGAAGCCATTAAAGACGACACAAACAAATAATTTATAATAATAATGGAAAACCTTATAAAATAAACTAGATATAGCAGTGTACATTGGGTATCTAAAATATATTATAAGAATAATTACGTAGCAGAAAATTACGCTAAAAGATAAAGCACTATATATATATAGTGCTTAGTACAGTGCCTGGTTACATCCTGTGTTGTTACAAATCAAAAAAGCAAACCCATGCATTGAAAAATAACTAAAAGGTAAAAAAAAAAATTCAAATGTTCCCTCTTCATAAAGTCTCCCCTCCCAATCCAGCCGTGATCCCTCCACCCTCTGAACTTTCTGGCCCTTTCCATAGAGCCCTACACTTCAGTCTTTAGCCACCTCTGATGACCTAAATAGTGCACACATGTCTCAGTACCCCTTGAGGAGAGAGATTATATCTTCCTCCTCTTTGAAGAGCCCTGATGCCTTGTACAGACACATATCAAAATGAATGAAATAGAGAAAAAGGAAGGAATGAAGGGATGGTCAGTACCAGCCCAGGCCCACCAAGAACATAAGCTACCATCCTGTCACATCTGAAGGTGAGACCAGCCCCACTAAAGCCCAGAGAAGCAACCCACGCTAAGTCACAGTAAGTTAGAAACTAGAGTTGGGAGGGGAAGGAAGAGGGCTTTCTGGGCAGTTCCTTGCTCAGCAATCTTCCAAAGAAAATGTTTTTGTTTCCTTCACCCCAATAAAACAAACCTCTATCCTAAGACACAGTACATATTTAGGGAACTCCCTCAAAACGGGCTATAGATCAGAGGTTCTCAACCTGTGGGTCGCGACCCCTTTGGCGGTCGAACGACCCTTTCACAGGGGTTGCCTAAGACCATCCTGCATATCAGATATTTACATTACGATTCATAACAGTAGCAACATTACAGTTATGAAGTAGCAACGAAAATAATTTTATGGTTGGGTCACAACATGAGGAACTGTACTTAAAGGGCCAGAAGGTTGAGAACCACTGCTATAGATGTTTACAGGCAAACATGATAGTTCTTATGTAGGTTTAGGTGTATCAGAAATCTGAAGAAGCAGCTGTAGAATTGCAAGTGCCACCAAAAGAAAATGGAGAGTCAGTTATAAAAGAATAACTGTGGGTAATATCGAAATGGGCCAGGAAGCCCAGCTGGTGTGGTTCAGTGGTTGAGTGTTGACCTATGAACCAGGTCACGGTTCGATTCTAGGTCAGGGCACATGCCCGGGTTGTGGGGGTGTACAGGAGTTAGCTGATCAATGATTCGCTCTCATCTCTGATGTTTCTATCTCTCTCTCCTTCTCCCTTCCTATCTGAAATCATTAAAAATATTTTTTAATAATAAAAGAAAGAAAGAAATGGGCCAGGAAGACGAAGGTGGTGAAATGCAAAGACAGTATCAGAAAGGAAGAAACAAAAGCAGCACCCAGGAAGCCAGAAAAGATGAGCTAGCCTGGAGGTCATAGGGGAACCCCAAAGAGCTGACTAGCTTTCTGAAGTTGAAGAACCAGGAGGGAGAATTCTGTCACTGACCTAAAAGAAATCCTCAAAAGAAACAGGATATACTGCAGTGACAATTTTAGAATTCAATACTTTTTAAAAAACTAAGTCACTAAATAGGGCTGAGTTGGTACTTAAAACATGAAACTAACCCAATATCCCAGATAAAATTGCTATAATGTTTTACAATATACAATCCTCAAATTGCTGTGGTCATAAAGCCTAATTTTATACTGCTCAGGGTATCAGCACAAATAGGATAAAAGAGGTGTCACTGAAAAAGAAGAGCCAGGGGAAGCTTAAAGCCATGACAAGAAGATACAACAATGAGATGGGATGATCTAGGTCACAGGTACCACAAAATGTTTTTATGCAAATTGACTTCTGAGCAGTATAGCAACTTAAGGCCAGTCTCTTTTCAAGGAATGGTACAAACACAGTGACCAATCAGAAATCTGAAGTATAGAGTAGAGGAGTGGGAAGCAGGTAATAGGAAATTCAGTTTCCATGTTGGTTCATAAATTTTCTAGATTTTTCAGGCTCCCTGTGCTGGTGCACATGTCTCTGACAGAATACAATGTGTGAGGAAGAAAACAGCAAATGAAGGAGAAACTTCCACAAATAGAAAAGAACATATTTAGCTCTTCTTTTTATATAAATTACTGACATTTTTCCATGAAGGAGTAGTCACCAGAGGATACTCAGATAAGAAAAGTTAGTGAGTAAAGACTGAAACTTCCCTCTCCTGAGTCCTCTCCCTGTATGTCTTAGAGGCCTATTTGCTGACACAGACAAGCATTTTGCTCCTGTTAGCACTAGGAAGTCTCTAGATGCTGGGAAACAGACAAGCAAGATACTATCAGGCCTCCTGCACCATCAACTGAACTGTCAGCAAAGTTCCCACGGCAGCCCCAAAGGACCAGGCATGTGTGGGCCCTGCCTAGGGCTGCTGGACACAGAAATGGAGAAAGTTCTCTATCTCATGGGTGGAAGCCTATTTGACCCAAATGTGGATGAGCTGAGTCCACAAAGCAGAGGGCACACTACCTATCAGTCTCATTCTGTTAGGACTTGGCAGATGTCTGACTGTAGACCAGCAATTTGGCAATGACGCAACAAATAACACCCTTCTCTTGTCATCTTTCTGCTGCTTACTGACTTCATCACTCTCCAGAGGAGCAGCGAAAACACATTTTAATTATCAGCCTGATTGCTTATAAACAAGGTGGTGAAAAATTAACCTCCCAAAACAGAGAGCAAGTAAAAAGAGGGAGATTTTTAAATAAAATATTGGGGTCAGAACTTAACCCACAAACTTGAGGAAACTCAGCTCAGAGAGGAAAAGCTGGCCAGGCCCTCTGTTTTTGAGTTCACGCCACATTTCAAGTGAGTGGCAAGCTTCCCAGCCACTGTCCACTCTTTTCCCAGGCCAGCTGGCAAAGAGACAACCTGGCATGGCAAGCTGCATGCCAGAGGCACATAAGTGAGTCCTTTATTGTGTTGTCTCCCCCACCCCCACCCAATGCTCTCAGCCAATCCTGAGACTCAGGCCCTATCCACCCTCTCCCACCCACTCCCTATAGACAGAGGGAATAACAGTATAAGGGAGTGACCATCTCACCTTGGCCGTTCTGTCCCTGGAGCCACTCACAATGATGCCCCCTCTGCAATCCACACAGTTCACCTCCTGCTCATGAGCTGAGTACTTGACGGTGAAGGTGCTATGAATCTTATGAACACCAATCTTTCCATCTCTAGGAGAGAAATAAGGAGCCCACCCCAACAGCCAATTACTCTCTCTGTAAGAAGAGAACAAGTCTATAGAAACAGCCCAAGACTCCAATGACATCCAAATTTGCTAAGCTGTAGGCAATTCAGTCCAATAAGGTCAGTCTGATCTTCCAGATACCTTTACTTGTCAGTACACTTGGGGCTGAACAGAGCTGAGAGACAAAACAAATTCCCCCCTTGAGAGTATCAGGACCAGCTTCACTTTTCTTTAAAGACTCTTCCTGTTTTCCTTCCCAGCTAACCCTATTAAGGGCCTTTGGTAAATCTCTGTGCTTTGAATGGGGGGAAAAACCCACTACTCCTTCTAGTCCCTCCTCATCCCTTTGGAGCTGAGACAGAAAAGTCAGAGACAGGCAGATGGTCCCTGAAAAATCCTAAGAGGCTGGAAGGAGAAACCTGTAGCACTTACCCTCCTGCACTGATAATATGTGAGTTGGCCAACACAAAGTGGCAAACGTCCTCATCGTGCCCAGCAAAGACTCCCAGGGGCCGACGGTTCAAGCTGGCACCATCTGGGCGGAACTGATAGGCCAGGATGAAATTAGCCTGGGATATGTACAGAGAATCACCCTCTAGCTGCATCCAGGGCATCTGACTAGAGAGATGAAAAAACAAAATTTAAGGATCATCAAGATACAGAATGAAAATCTAACTCCAAGCTTTGGAGAGGCTGACTGATCCCCAACTTAGCAAGGATGACCTGCAAGGCTAAGTCTATCCCTCGCTCTCCCCTTCTTCAAAATGACCTTAGGGTACCCTCAGAAAACTAGAGTGACTGAATGTTGTGTTCACCTAATCATCTTTGGACTATCTAAGAGAGTGAGAATTAAAAGACCAATTAAATAGCACTTTTAGTTGGAGAATGCTTACAACTTAAATTATTGGGTAGGCAGAGCTTAGAAAATGCAATGATTGAGTGGTGGGGAGAGACTAAAAGAAGCCTTCCACGCTGATGAAGTAAATTTTTTCATTCTGTATCCTCACTAATTTGCTAAGTTTCAAGGTTCCAAGACTCCCATACATGTCTCTTTCCCAATAGACTGGTTAGGGTGTGATAGAGAAAGAAGAAGAGTGATCCCAGGAAAGCTCCCTTCCCATCATTCTAGAGCAAAGGGGCCATTTACTAGTATAAGTGAAAGGAATAAAGCCATTTAGGAAAGGATGCTAATAATGTACTGATTAGATACCTAGATCCTCACAGGGGATATCTACATTTCTAAATGTATGAGAGGATACAGGGTAAGAGTAGCAATGGAAAAACACAGTCCCTAGGGCAGTTTACTACAGGGGCTACAGAGAAATAGCTCTCATAGGCAGCAGATAAAATAAATCCACACAGAGTTAAAGATTCCTTCTGCAATCTGGCAAGAAGAAAGGTAGAAGGGGAAAAGGAGACATATGTAAAACTTTAAACAATAAAAAAAAAAGAGCGATAAAGGAATATAGATACTGGCAAGAAAAAAAAAGGTAGAAGCCACAGACCAGTCCCATGGCACAGAGTGAGATTTAAGAAGGAAGAAGGCTCTGCCAGACACCAGCTCTCTGTGGGGCCTAAGCCCCTTTCCCAGGGTAGACTTCCCAGCAGCCTGTCCTGTTCTACCTAGGGATTCTGAGGCTACCAGGCCCCAAGCAAAGCATAGGGACAGTTGATTCATCCCCATTTACAGACACCATCTCACTGCCAAGCCTGTCTGAGCAAACTGGGCTGTGTTTCTTCCCCAGACTCCTTAATATAAGCGTCATGGGAATGTGGAAAAGTTCTGCAAATTGACTTGACGGGCCATTAAATGCAGCTTGGACTTTGTAATAACTGAGTTTCTGCTTGTGAGGTTTTTACAAGTGTGTGCATATATTATATGGAACATGTGTAGAGTGTGTATGGATGCCTGCATTCTCACTCATTATGCACATTCCTCTTCAGCATCCCCTTGCATGAGTTTGTGGCACACTCAAGTGGGCAGCAAGCAGAGGGGTTTGAAATTCATGTTAAGAGCCATCTGGTAAACAGCCATTGCCTAGGACAAGAAACCAGGTTCATGCCAGGTGAACAGTGGAGAATCCCAGGGCAGCCTGGTAACTGTTCTGTGTGTTTATTTGCCAAACTGCTTTAAACCAGCCAAAAATAATAATAAAAATAAAAATGCCAGGGACAAAACCTTGATAGAGAAATAAACTCTACTTTCTGGTATTAAAAGACAAAAGTGGGAAGCAAAGGGTAAAGACCTTCATCATAAAAATCCACATTTCTCCCCTGTAGTTTCTTTACCATCACCACTATCACATTAATTCGCAGCAGCCGATGTCAATAAAACCAGCAGAAACTGGACACAAGAGAGAAGGGTCATCAGATGAAGAAGGCTGGCCTCTATATCTATCAGTACAGGTACAGATGAGCAATCATGATATTCCCTAATCAATCCAGCCAATCAACAAAGAGCAGTTTTTTTGGTAGAGAATCATGTAATAACTTTGAAAAAGTTATTATATAAAAGTCATTATGATAAGGCATAAAATCTGTGGCATTAGTAGTTCCAAGGCCATGATTTAAATCTCCTAGCACTTTTTCTGAGCTCTGCCTCCTGTAACATATATCGATAAACCTTTAGATTCTATTTTGCTTTTTAATAAAGGAGGGGAAAGAAATATAGGAAGCCAGGAGTAAAAGTGTAACTCCCTAGAGTAGAAGATTTAAAGGAAAAATAATTGTAAAACAAGATAGGTTGAAATATTGGCTTCATTTATTTCTTTTGATGAGATACATTAACAGTGGTTACCTCTGAGTGGTAGGATTATAAGTTTTATTTTCTTCTTTAAACATTTCTATTTTTTTCAAATTTCTACAATAAACATTTATTGTTTTTATAATCATAAAAATACGGAATTCGTTAAAATACCATTTCTGTAATCCTTTTGATAAATGTGAAAAAAGTTGTCCCTCTGATGTCCCCTTTGTCATATTTAAAGGATCACCAGGGCCATCTATCCAAGAAAGACTACTCAACTCCAGCTAGGACCAGATTTCTCACTTCCCAGCATGCTTTTCTGTCCCAGGTAGCTTTAAGAGTCAAAAGGCTACTTACCTGCATCTCCACTTCAACAGAATCCCCTCTCGGCAGCGCCCCAACCTCCAGTTTTGAGACACCTTCACTCGTTCTTTTACTGGTACACTGGCCATCCTGTGTCCAGACAGAACAGATAATTCAGTCACTACAACTCATTGCCAACCAGAGAAAATTCCATGGGCTTATAAGTCAGGACTCAGGAACATCCAGAACAGTGGTTCTCAACCTTCCTAATGCCACGGCCCTTTAATACAGTTCCTCATGTTGTGGTGACCCCCAACCATAAAATTATTTTCATTGCTACTTCATAACTGTAATTTTGCTACTGTTATGAATCGTAATGTAAATATCTGATATGCAGGATGTATTTTCATTGTTACAAATTGAACATAATTAAAGCATAGTGATTAATCACAAAAACAATATGTAATTATATATGTTTTCTGATGGTCTTAGGCGACCCCTGTGAAAGGGTCGTTCAACCCCCAAAGGGGTCGCAACCCACAAGTTGAGAACCGCTGATCCAGAATATATCTGGATATAAGTGAAGGGGCTAGGAGACAAGAAAGGAATAACTTTTCTCTCTCCCATGCTAGGATAACTAAGAAATCCAAGGAGAACAGCTTTTCCTTTAAAGTGTCTATAGTGATGCTAAAGCAATTTAATAAAGGATGACAAACAATGCTGGAAGCACAGACTATCCATAAGGAAAAAAATGAACCCCGACCCCTACTTCACACCATAAGGAAAAATTAATTCAAAATAGATCACAGAGCTAAACATAAAATCTGTTTATAAAATTGCATATCAGTAGAGCAAAAACTGAATTTAGATTATCATCTCATGTCACAATAATCTCGCCCAAAATGAAAGTGAATTTAAAATAGTTTTTTAACTAAAAGTAGTTTAAATACTACACAGAAGAAAAAAGAGATTAAAATGAAAGCAACAGAGTAGGGAAAATTAAGAGTTAATACCATAGGTAAAAGTTTTATGCTTAAAAGTTTTAAGAAACTGTAAAAACCTATCAGGGTAACACCCTGTCTCCAACACACTGTCATCCATATCCAAAAGCAGCTAAGAAGAGTCACACAGTGTTCACATGATAAAACACTAGGGAAACAGCCACAACAATAATAGTTCACAGAAATGCACATTAAAACAATTATTAAAAATAAAATTTAAAAACAACTATTAAAAGTACCACCTCAATGGCTATCATCAACAAATCAACAGACGACAAGTGCTGGAGAGGATGTGGAGAAAAAGGAACACTTGTGCACTGCTGGTGGGAATGCAGACTGGTGCAGCCACTATGGAAGACAGTATGGAGTTTCCTCAAAAAACTGGAAATGGAACTCCCATTTGACCCTGTGATCCCACTTCTAGGAATATATCCCAAGAAACCAGAAACACCAATCAGAAAGGATATATGCACCCAGATGTTCATAGCAGCACAATTCACCATAGCTAAGATCTGGAAACAGCCTAAGTGCCCATCAGTAGATGAATGGATTAGAAAACTGTGGTACATCTACACGATGGAATACTATGCTGCTGTAAAAAAGAAGGAACTCTTACCATTTGCAACAGCATGGATGGAACTGGAGAGCATTATGCTAAGTGAAATAACCCAGTCAATGAAGGAAAAATGCCACATGATCTCACTCATTCATGGATAATAGAGACCATTATAAACTCTTGAACAATAATAGATACAGAGGCAGAGTTGCCTCAAACAGACTGTTAAACTACAGCAGGAAGGCCGGGGAGGGTGGGGGGGCTGGAGGGGGGGGGTAAGAGATCAACCAAAGGACTTGTATGCATGCACATAAGCATAACCAATGGACATAAGACACTGGGGGGTAGGGGAGGCCAGGGGATTGTCAAGGGGGGGGGGGGGAAGGAGACATATGTAATACTCTTTGTAATAATTTAAGCAATAAAAAAAATTATTAAAAAAATAAAAAATAAAAAATAAAAAAAATAAAAGTACCACCTCACATCTATTAAGTGGAAAAACCACACTAATTTTGGTTTGACAGAAGGATTTGGTTTGGCTATGCATTGCTAGCAGCATGCTGGTACAGCTTTTCAGAAAGGAATTCTGTGGAGAAAAGTTGTTAAATTACAGCTTCTGATCCAGCATTCCCACTTTGGGCACTGCAGCACAAAGACATAATTCAAAAGAAAAATATATTTTATGAAGATATTTATAGTTGCAGCTATACACTAGAGCTAAAATCTGAAAATAGCCCAAATGTCTGTCTGTGGGAGAGAATGGTATACTAATACAATGAAATATATTGCCCACTAGAAATGATAAATGTGAGGACTGCAAAATACTTTGGAAATGATTATAGCAAGGAATGGTAATTTTAAAACTAAGTCAAATTTATAAAGTAAAGGTGAGGAGACACTACATAAAATTATGTCTCCATAAATAACAGGTCAGAAGAGGTAAATAGATGGTACTTTAGGAAGTGAGCAATTTAAAAAAAATATATCACATAATTATTGTGAGTTAGGTCTTTCAATTTACCTTTAAATAGTAGATTAAATGCAGTTACGGAGAAAGTATAGAATGCAGACTTAGAAAACTGGGATCCAAACCTGGTTATCTAATTTCTCTAGTTATCAATTTCTTTGCCTATGAAAGGGTAATATTTCACACAATTGTGGTATTTTAAAGATGACACCTAAAACAAAGTACAGTATAAGTTATAAATCACTACAAAAAGGTTAATTTTACATGAATATAAATATATGTAGTGATTAATATCCATTAATGGTGCCATCTCTAAAAGCTAATTAATCATTTTTCTTCTAATTCAATTATAACTATTAGAAATTGTTCTTCTAATGTCAAACAGTCCTCTTTCAGGCTGAATGATTAATATTTGGGTGCACACATGCTAAAGCTAAAATATATTACTGAATTTGTCCATTGGGTGACTATGGTCCTTGGTTTCACATTACTAGTAAGTAACCTATACTACCAGCTAGAACTGAGGACAGTAAAAGATAGTCAAGGGGGCCTGGCCATGGTGGCTCAGTAGCTGAGCATTGATCTATGAACTAGGAGGTCACAGTTTCCGGTCAGGGCACATGCCTGAATTGTGGGCTCAATCCCTGGGGGAGGGGGGGGGGGGCAGGAAGCAGACAATCAATGATTCTTTCTCATCATTGATGCTTCTATCTCTCTCTCCCTCTCCATTCCTTTCTGAAATCAATAAAATATATTTAAAAATTATTTTTTTTAAAAATAGTCAACAGGATGGACCAAAAGAATTGAACTCTTAATGAAAAAGATTAGACTTCCTGTCAACTCTTATTTGCATAGCCCAGATATAAAAAAAGAGTTCATTTAGCATAACCAATGGACACAGTAGCAGAGTAAAGGCATGTGCTGGGGGGTGGGAGCAGCTGGGGAGAGGTCAATGGGGGGAAAAGGAGACATATGTAATACTTTAAACAATAAAGAATTTAAATTTAAAAATAAAAAGGTAGTTTACAGCTAACCTCTCCTCTTCGGTTAGGTCTAAGTTCATAGGTGGAATAAAACCAAAATTGAATGTTCTGGATCATAACAGGAAGGAAACAAGTGGGAATGAATCAGTATATCTCCTGAATTGGGATAAGGACAACACTTCTCTCATCTCCCTGGTCACTTAACTGCAATTTGGTGACACTTTACTAAGGGTCAAAGCACTGCCCTGAGGGCCTGATCACAGCAGCAAGAAACTTTCAAAGTTGAACTTTAGAAGCTGCTACCAAATAGCAGGTGCAGGCTTCCTCTCCCACAGTGAATGCTCTGGTCCTTCAAATCAAATTTCAACTGTTTTAAACCATTCCATTTGGCTTTCAGCCGAGATATAGTACCACTTTGTTAAGAGCAATTGAACAACCAGGCTTTTTCATCCCTTTTCTTTTTTCTTCTTTCTTTAATCATCTCTGATGGTTTCCTAGCTGGACAAATCATTTTCATGTTCTTATTGGCTTTAGTGCCTGAAAAATCAATAATAAAAAAATTTTCCTTCTCTGAAAGCAAGTACCCCTCCTGCCCTGTGGGGACCTGCTGTGGTCCAGTCAGAGAGGGTCAGTAAAACAAGGCAGCATGAGTGCCTGAGAAGACAGGAGCAGCTGCCCCTGGGAATTCAATAAGGACCCTGGTTCCCATCCTTGAAATGCTCTCTGGTTGGCTGTTTCTGCAACACAGCTATTGGTGTAAAGTGGGGGTACTCCCTCCAAAAATGATTGGTGCCCTGTAAATAAACCTCTCGCATGGCTGTTAATGCACGGAGGAATCTCTAACCTGGCCTATGGGCCTACTGGAACTTCCATTTTCCCAGCCCTCCTTCTCTTGCCTCAGGCTCATTTTTCCACTTGGGCCCCCTCTTCTCAGCTTTCCGGCACTTAGTCACCATTATAGTTTGACTGCATTCCTGGGCACATGACCTATTTTAAACAAAAACAACCAACATGCACCCACAGTAAGCTATTGGACCCCTTAAAATCTTGGCAACAAGCGAGTCCAGAGGGATAGAAATTAATCTAGGCAATTATCTAGAGTCCCCTTTCATTTCACCCCTCCTCACACTCCAAACCAAAAGCAAATAAATAAACCCAGTCTGAAGAAAAATGGTTGGGGGGTAAAGGAAAGGGAAGTGTGGCTATATTATAGAGGCCTTTAACCTGCACGGTCCCTAAGATCAGAAAACGCCTGCATCACAAATCAATTTCCCTCCCTGCTCTATCTTGAAGTTTGACTCCCCTTGATGCCACCCAAGCTGTCCACCTGCATGACTGGCATGATTATCATAAACATAACTTCCTGCTGACTTGAAAATTCAGAAAGGGAGGGTATCTGTCCACAGGTGATGGACAAGGCCATCTCAAGGGGCACTTGGCTAAGGAGGGGAAACAGGACTATGCAAAATGATGCTTGGGGGCCTGGAATTTTAAATTAGTACTATCTCTTGATTTCTTTGATCTTCTTACTCTCCAGAAAGCAGAGTTCCCCCCACATTGCCTGTACCCACCAGCTCTTCTACTAAATGAATAATTTGGCTTTAAGTAGAAGTATTTAAACAGCCTAATACAAGAAACTTCTA